TTGGATGGGATCAGCCATGGCTTACTCTGTCATTTATTCATTCGTTTCTTTCTTCATCCTTAATCCATCTCTTGTATATAAGCCCGCGTTCTACGTGAAATAAACACAACTGGAGTTTAATCTACAATGTTCTGAAGATTTAATGTTTACTGATGACATTTTCCTACACAAAGGACTAAGGTAGTTTGAAATGATTGTATACTCATCCCTTGATAGAAAATTCTACATCGTTTCAGCAATTTTCAATATTAATAGTAGAACATACCCAACATGATTGTGCGAACTGTGAACATATAAAGAAATGAAAGAAAGTTCGCATTTTCCATTGATCATGATGCACCTTTACAACATAAGGAACTTTAACGTTATGGGACATGTAGTTTTTTTTATTTTATTTATTTATCAACGTGCGAATAATCAGAAAAACAACGATTTAATAGTATTATCATTTGATCGTCGTACAATAGAGACACTTCAATCAATTCAAGTATCAATGACAAATTAACGATTTGCATGGGTTTGATAAATTTATGGATATTAACAACTGTTGTTAGCGTTATTGGACAGATTTCTTCTACTTTCAAAACCTATCGAGCTGTGATGAAACCTAAAAATGTTCAATAAAAACATTAGAAAAAGCCTTCATACAAATATCATTCTTTCAAAATTTTTATTTTTCTTTGAAAATACACGAGCGGACTAAGATACTAAACCGTTCGACCTCATCGTGAAAAAAAGCTACGATACTATAGATCAAATGTACAAAGTATGGAGATTGAGGGTGTGCATATGATGCACAATGAAACTGTGAGATTTTCTAGCCTCTGTCAGCTATGGGAGCAATGACATAGTTTAAAATATGGGTGAACTGAGAATTCTACAACCACTTTAAGCCTAATCTTCAGTGAAGATTTATAATTGATTATATCCATTTTTTATTACGGATTCACATATATTAGTATATCGGATTGTAGTATGCTGTAAACCTTGTGTATAGTCTTTTATTATTCATATCAACACATTCGACTTTAGCATAGCAACAGTATTACACAATGACTTGAAAAATGAATATAAATATGTATGATCTTTAAGAGCCATCTATCTACAATATCACCTAATAGACTTAACTATTGATGTATCGATATCGTAAGAATCATGTCAACTTCGTTTCTACTGATAATCAATGTAGCATGAACGTGTCTCAATGAGACACCAGTTTAATTTATCATCTCGGAGAATGCATTAACTCTACTGATAATCACACTTGTTTGATTTATATTTTTTTATTTTAAAGAGTCTTCAGAAAATTGTTTCATTTCAGTATCCCTGTTGACCCACAGTGGTCAAACTTCGTTTCGGATGAAATATTGTCCACATAAACTGTGCGAGAACAATCGGTGCGATTTGAAAAATATAAAACCATAATTCATTTCGACTTGCGATAATATAATAATCGGGTAACGATACAATAAGAACGAATGTGGCAGCAATCACACAAGTGAGACCGGAGATGATCAAAAGAACAATACCTTTTCTTGTCATATCCTTGACGATTTTGATTGCAAACAATATAGGAAAGAATAGAAGGGTTATACATAGAATAATCGCTGCTGATATTTGTCGCAATCGAAAGCTAATATCAATCCTATTGCTATCATAAGACAATGTGCTGGCTATAACCGTGAGAAGAGCCGATGCGATAATGCTCAAAAATGTTGCTATACGAATAGTTCGAGAGAGACGCCATTGAGTGCCACGCACTTGAATTAGAAACTCGTAATTTCCCAAAATGATGACACGTTGTCCGACGGAGAGTAATCCCGTCATGACTGTATAGACAAATCTTGAATTCAGTGCAGCAGTAGAAAGTGTTGCTCGTAATATGAATTGCAGAAAGATGTTCACATGAGAAACAAGAAGAAACATGATTAGACGACGTGGTTGAAAATGTGACTGAATAGATTGAATGATCCATGCGATGAGAGAAATACCAGTGAACGAAGCAACGATGCCAGCTGCAACATTATTTGGTTCATATTCTTGATAAGAATAGTTGGATAGATTGGCCATAATACTTCCCACAAAAGTACTAACAAATTGTATTCTAAAAAATATAAGAATCATTTATAAAAGCAAATCATATCACACCACTGTTATTTTCCATGAATCTTCAAGAGACTGCAAAAATTTCCTTTTTCCGAACAAAATGTTTCCTTTGATCTCTAATGTACTAGAGTTTCTTATTTTTCTATGTACGTGCACTCTTATCTCCAGTTGTGCTTCATCTTCTTGAATTCTTCCTTCCTTCATTCTGTCGTTGTCGATAAATCATTTTTGAACCAATGAGAATGTATATCTTGTCATCTTGTGGAAGTAGCATAAGATAAGAAGAAAAAAAATACTATGACAGCATGTGAAGAAAGCAATACTCTGTTGAAAATTGAAAAAAAACTCAAGTACATTTCCCGGGCTGAAAAATTTAATGGATAGTTGAATAGTGATAGTTAGAAAAAAAATGGGCGTCCATAATTTGTCGTAGAGTTGAATATAGTTACAATTAAAAATCTGGCCATTCCAATTCTGTAGTCTCTCAGAAGAAACTTCTAATTAAATCTCTAGATCAAGGAAATACTTTGAAAGGCTAGTTGCAATTTTCTAACGATGGAAGTTACTTGCTTTCATTGAATATTTTTTTTCTGTATGAATTTGACGTCTTTGAGAAATAGAAGCTTAGTAGTTAACTTTCTCGATGAAGCAATGTCGCATCCTGCTGACACGTTTGTCTATCAAATTAAAATACAGATAAGAAATTTATATGAAATTAATTTTTCAACTTTTTTTCCATTTTCATAAAGAAGACATGCTGTGAAGATCGTCATTTCTGTTCGCTTGACGTTCACGAAGACAATTAGTCGAGATAACTTGTATGCTATCATTATGACTTCGACGGTTTTTCCTTTTTTTTCTTCTCCTGTCCTCGTATATAACAATAAAAACTGAGAAGACAAGCTAAAAAAATATCTATGTTTCTAGAAGTTGTCATGGAAACTGATAAAGAAACAGAAGGAAAACGTTTCCGCCTCACGATACTGTAACAACATAATCTTCGAATCAGTTGACTGCGCTCTTAATGTAGACAAACTTGAAGGTTGACATGATGAATTTCTTCATGCGTGGTTCTCAAAGCACATTCCAATAGGACACTTTGTAGGTCATCACCTATGAAGAGAGCCAAAAATTTTCAGCTCTTTCACAAAAACTGCTGTTTTTTCCCTTATGATAAATTCAAAAACTTTGACAATTAAACATCTAATCTGCTGTGGATCTAGAAGGAAGGTATATATGCTCGTATAATAAAGAAGACTGTGATCATATGTTTCGAAAGTGAAAATAGCGAAAACTTGGATGAAAACATAGATGGTAAAAATGTAAAACAAAGATTATATCAAAATGAAGAAATATTGTAACAGTCATGTTGAATTGAAATTCGTCGGAAGATTTATAAGATGTCTATGGATATGATCTTCGAAAGTATTTGATCACACAATATCAAATAAGATGAAGACAAGAGCAATGACGAAGTCAATTTGTGATGATTAAATGAACAAAGTATTTAATGCAGACACCCTTGATACAGAAGAATAAAGAAAATTTCTACCAAGCAATCATTTGAGTTGCACCAGTACTTCTACGAAATGTATTTGCATAAACAAAGATCCTTTCATTCGTTACACAATATAGAAGACTGTTATCAGTACCAACTGATCATATGAAACTGAATTTTGTGAAATGTAGTTATTCTACTTCAAGCTTCGTATACCGTTTTGTAACTATTTATTTTTAAAATTTAGCATTGACATCGAAAAGGTCCCATCAATGTGGTTAAAAACTTGCCTAACTCTATATAATCGTATTAGAGAATGAAAATTCAACATGAACACCGGCATGTATTGGAAGTCGCTGAATTTGCCAATGCTTTTTTTTTTCTATTTTGAGAAATACCACCATATTGATATGTGCCCTTGATATCCATACTCTGTAGATCAAACTTTTTAAAATAGTTTATTTAGAAAAATGCCGGAGACAGTGTTAAAAAGCAGATGATCTTATTTTTCAGAAATCTTATAAATTTTCAAAGGTACTCACTTCACATTGCTTTTGATTTGTTAACAGAAATCCTTTGAGTTAGTCTGAAAATGAATCTCACGTATTATGTAATGAAGATAATCTTTTTCTTTTTGTTTGGTAATTAAAAGAACTGGTTCTTTTGAATTATTGAATAAAATCTATTGAAAATAAATCGATTTTTTGTCAACCATATACGAAAATATACGAAGCTAAAATTTGAAACCAATCATTTATAAATCTTGTTGTTATCACCATCTATTTCAGCATTATTCAATTCGAAACGAAATAAAGAAGTGCGAAGAGAAGCTGTCGAAGAAGGTCGGTATGCAAGCTAAAAAATTGATCAGGACTGTTCTTACTTATCTATCATACCAACTTGCTTCTTTCCTTCCTTTCCATGTGCATACACATGAGGAAAGCATATTAATAGAGAAGTACGTTGAAAGAAACCAACGTAAGGAAGACAATACGTGACATCACTCTTATTTTAGTTAAGTGTTTGAGTAGAAGAGAACTAGACATATATAGAATTGCTTCACTACGATACCTTGCTGATTTAACATTACATATGACATATTTGTACAATATTCGCGTATTAGCATCTATTGAAAGATAGGCACATACTGCCATAAAACATTTAGTGATGAAATAGTTTCTAAACAATAAAAGTTGGAAAAAATTCTCCAGCTATTTTTTTTTTCTCTTCTTTTGTTCCCCGTCATTTATAGAGAAAGAGTTCCACCGAGAACACTGAAGCAATTGTAATTCGATTTGTATTTGAGCTTTATTTGTGTTTTATATTCACTCCAACACTTGAACCGAATCTCCATAGTTTATCATCAAATAATCATCGACATTGCTTCGATAATTAAATGGCAAGTGGTGATCCAGGAAGTTCCAAATTCAACAGTAAGACCGATAGTGAAAGTCATTCAGCACGCGAAGCATATCGAACAGCAAAAGATCGTAATGGTGTGCCAAGATCTCAATCGCCACTGGAACATCCAACAAAGATCGTAGACGGAAACAATCCAGACCAGTTCGTTACAGAATATAAACATCGCAATGTTTATGGTGAATCAATATCAATAAGAAAAGATAATTCGATCGATTATGGAGATGGCAGTCAGAAACAAGGTCCACACTACAATGCTGGTCGAACGGGAGAAAAATTTAAGCAACATCATAACTACAATGTTGGTAATAAGAAATAGACATATAATAAAACAATGAACACAGTGATAGTTGGCCATAATGTATAGAAGACCAAAAATTGCTTGACCACGCATTTTGATATCCTAGAAATAAATTACTTACCGAGAGAGCGGACAACTCTAAAACTGTATCGAATAGACGAATAATTCGATTCCAAATTGAAATTTTGAAAAACTGGATCGAATCAAATCGCATGAAGATGCCTATATTCGCATTATTCCCTAAATCACATAAATTGATGAGAAAAAAAACAAATGACATTGTATTTAATATCGGGAGTTGATAATATGAGTCAATTGAGTATAAGCGCGTTTACGACATATTTATTAAGTTAGTCCTCTGTAATGATCTTGGTCTATGAAATATGATCCTAGATCATATCTGACTTGACCCAATTCAGATAAAGAGCTGCTAAGTTCATATCTAGTTGGGAAAAGATCTTCTCAATCTTAGTATTATGTGAAATCAATGAAACTTCTCGAAAAAAACTAGTTTTGTACGGAAAGACAAGAAAGTCTACACCCTCGCTCACCCATGCTCTCACACCTAATCATTTGATCGATAATATTCAAGAAATTGATGTGAGATTCGGACTATTAGCCATTCTAGATGAATCTCTATATTCATAGCCATCATATAAAACGACTGCGATGTGAGATGAATCCCGACTTAGTTGAATCATTACAGTATCGTCATACTCATCAATCGACTGGTATTGCACGAGCGAATCTATTTGATAATCGAGCATCATCGTCCAACGTTGCAGAAAATCGTCCATCGATTCAAAATTTCCTATCAAACATTCTCATTGTAGAACTTAATTTTCAAGATTGATCTATCAAAATAATTTCGGATGCCTTTTCTCATGTTTCTTTATGTGATCTTAATTCGAACTGGGCTTCGAGGAAGTGTGGCATGGTTCCATTCTGCACATCGAAAGAGTAATTAACAATGACCTAACAGAAAATTTTATGGATCATTCAACCAATCAACTATCATTTGATTTGCACCATAGCATATTCGAATGTTTAGCAACAGAGTGGTCTAACAATTCATTCATCGGCAATAAGAAGAAACTCGATAAACTTATTGAACATATCGTTCAAATTGCTTCTACGGGATCATTATCTCTTGTTTCTAAAGAAATGAAAAACGCTGGAACTGCGACATTGGTTGAACGAACTAGTCGAAACAATTATCAACAAAATCTTGAATCTACGGCCAGTTTACTGAAACATCTAGATCTAATTTTCATGACTGAGTGGAAAGATTGACGTCAAATCAAGCCTTAGACAATTCACATCAGTTATTATTGACGATTGTCATAGATTATCGCCGTTCTCTTTAATATCCATTCATATGTATATATTTCTAATGTATCGTACCTCATCGGATGTCTTCCACTACATGTACGAAGAAATCATCGATGGTCCGTACAAACATTGTTGCTATACGAAGCATGACCGTAAGTCATCGACTTGTGCAAATATTCTACTCTTTTTGTCACAAAAGCAAATAGTGGATGTTGAAAATTTTGTTCGCGAAACGGTCACTCTTCTCACTTGCCTGTTGGTTGATTATCATGTGAACTATCATGGTATCCTATCTTTTTCTTAATCGGTATGAACGTAATTCTCAATTATCTTAAGCAACAGCAAAAATCGAGCGACTTCATTGACAGTATTCTTTTCAGTAACTTTGTTAACAGACATGGCACCGATTATACATATGAGATTTAGTGAGCTGTTGATGTTGTTTTTGTTGTTCTTGCTCAACAAAAATTTCTTTTCAGCATGTGAGTACAATTTTTCAAACGCAATTATGAAGAAAGAGTAGCAAAAAAGAACGACGAGTAGGACAAACAACAAAACAACAAAACAGAATAGTATACGATTGTTTGCAGCGTTTTTTACAGAATACGACGATGGCTAATACTTGGGTGAAAAGCTCTACACGGGGATTGACCGATTGGCAGATTTTTACGAATGATGGATATTTTAATAATCCATTGCCACCTAGTCGGCGACTCAATCAGCAGTGCCTGTATTATATTCTCGGTACAGACATCAACGATATTCGTCAGCACTACCAATCAGCTAGAAGCCGAAGTGAGTAGTGAGTGAATTATATTAAAGATTTTCTATACCAGGATGAACTTAGGTCAATCGTCAGTTATGACAAGTATCGAAAGAGTACGGAGTGTTCGGGGTGTCATCGACAACAGCGATCCACCAATCAAATCGGAATAGCTCTATGAAATATGAAACACTTCATATACTAAATTCTCCAAATGACTTTATTCATATCTGACTTTGTAGAACTTCATGATGTTCTTCTAACAGTATAACAATCACGTTTTTTAAAATATTCTGTTCAAAATGAATTCTTATGAAAAAAGTTTTAGCTCTCTTATTGGAAGTTGAAAGTGATAGAAGTCATACGGTTCTTATTTTTTCAAGACATCTAGGATTAGAATATGCTCTAACTATGGATATTTGCACCCTATAGACTGTGGCATCTGGACAACTACCCTTTCTTGTCTTGAATTACCTAGAAACAGGAACCTAGTATACGGTTTGTGTTCCTAGGTACCGTTAATTTTGAGACACTTAACATGTTTAAAAATATTTTATTTTCATAAATATTGATCTTGTCTATATACATAATCGTTCTACGCACGAATGAAGTTACTAGATCAACATGAGAGCTCATTGACTGTACAGTAACTTGGAAACTGTACAAGAATATATAAGTTGTCCTTAGCGATGAAAGTAAAAAATAAATAGACTATTTCACAGAGAATTAAACTCTGTATCAAATGGTACGTTACTGAGCATTTTTTTGAAAAAAATTTTAGTTAAGAGGTTCAACATACGATTTTTTTAAAAAGTTTAAAACTCGATTTCTGATGCCAAAATCCAATTTTTTTAAGGCTAACTACAAACTCATAATTAGCGTGAAAAATTGTACCTAATAATGCATGTTAATCCGTCTAACTCGAAAAAAATGTTTTGAAAAACTTGTTCAGTAAAGTGTAATGTTGCATGAACAAGTCGAATGATAGTCAAAAGCGTAGCGTGTTATTAATATCTGGGTCAAATAATTAATTTCCAAAGTGCATCGATGTATCTTGTATACTCTTTTGTGACTGTAGCAAAATTGATCTTTTCTTGTCGAATTTATTTTCGAGTTTTTTGTCTAATTGAACCGCAAAGCAAAAAATAATACAAATATGGTTTATTCTGCAAATTGGTACAGTCAAGTGGAAAGTGGTAATCGAATTCGACAAGGAAGCAGTAATTTCTGTTCCAATCGCATAGGGATATACGAGATATACCGACGTATTTTTGAAACAAACTATTGAGCCCAGAGCAATGGGAAACAAGCAGATTCCACGATTCTAAGATTTCAAAAGATTCTAAAAGATTCCGAAAGATTTTAGAAATAATGGGAGACAATGCCTGAGTTTTCTTCTTGATCAGAATCAACCGGCCTTCGCTTGTGTTCATTAGGACTGTCTATTCCAAGTTTCGAAGCTCTCACATATGCACTCAGAAGCGTGAACTTCACATTTCTAACATCGAACAATTACACTCGTGAAAGCTGTTTCTCAGCTAATGTAAGGACAAAACCTTCTTATTTTCGAGTCAAAGGAAAGAGCACCCCAGATAATCCTAATATTGGCCCGAACAACCCTGTGTTTTGCCCTAATACAAGGGAAAAACCGTGCTAAAATCTAATTGGTTGATAATTGACCAATCAGATTTGAGGAAGCTGTTTCCTCACTTTTGTAAGAACAAAACATGGAGTTGTTCGGGCCCATTAAGGGATTATCCGGGACCTACTTTCATATGACCCAAACAACCTTATGTTTTGTCCTTACAATAGTGAAGAAACAGCTTCCTCAAATCTCATTTGTCGATTATCAACTAATCAGATTTTAGTACGGCTTTTTTTCACTATTATTAGGGTAGAACATTGGGTTGTTCAGGCTAATCATAGGATTACCTGGGGTCCTCTTTTATATAACCCGAACAATCGTATGTTTTGCCCTTACAATATGTGAGGATCAGCTCTCTTGAATCTGATCGATCGATAGTGAGGATGTATAGTTCAGGGTGAGGAATGCTCATGCAGTTGAACTATACAGCTCTAATAAACACAAGCGAAAATGGATCGAATCTTATAGGTGACTCGCACAATTGAATTATAGAAGAAGCGCTAATGCTCAAATGAGCAGCTCATGAGCGTGAGCTGTACACTCCTAATAGTAACACGCCTTATTTTAAGATTTCAAAAGATTCCAAAAGAATTCAAAGGATTCAGAAAGATTGCGAAAGACTCCAAAGATTCTCAAAGATTTCAAAAGATTCTCAAAGATTACAGAGATTCTGAAAGACTTCGAAAGATTTTCGGCACAAAAATCTGCCTTTTCCCTCTTGCCACACCCACATCCACATATATACACACCTCGACACCCCATTCCGGACTACCCCAGGACGAGGACTTTTTGAGACTTAGACTGGACACGTCACACGGACATGACTAGAAAAAACATTCGGGTGTACTAAAATGTCAGGTTGTTTAGTTTTAATTCTCCAAAAAAATGGAAAACATTTATATTGTAGACTTTTTGCAAAATGATAATCAATATTTCCAAGAGTAGATCAAGAAAATAATTTAAAAATTAAGCTTGTTTCAATATCACCCACAGGATTATACAGGTTGTTTTTTCAACATTAACTCGAGTTTCTATAGTTATTATAGATTTCAAATCATATAAATATTTTATTGTAGCATAATAAATAGCTGCTTGGATATATTTTTACAAAAAGAAAGTAATAAAAATGTATTGTAATATCAAAAAAAATTATAAAATGGTCTAATATTTTAATTGCTACAGTTATTAAAACTTGCGTATGGGTGCGCCTATGGATCACAATCATCCGCACCCATCCACAAACAAAAAATGTAATATTTGCTTTTGTAGAAGTGCATTGCATTTATGCATTCCAACTACATCATAGTGGTGCAATCTAACTTTTTGATTGGTATATGTGTCTATTAAGTATGGATGTATGCCGATAGAATTGTGAAGTCATACCAAATTATTTTTCTATTGCCGACAAGGTTATATCTGAGACAATCATGAGTACAGCTGATGGTAGATAATATATTATAGAGAGAATCAAGCAAATTAATCAATAGTCTCCATTAGAAGCATGTTGATCATTGTCGATTGAGTTCTCTTAGTAATGAATTTTTTCAATGATTACTTTACAAATTCTTTCAAACTTCGATCAACTGATTCATTGAAATATGCATTTGCAAAGCGTAGTAGTATGCCGGCAGAGCAGAAAAAAGATGTGTATTTAAACGAATCAATATCAAATGCACTACGTGTGGCGACCTCTGAGTTTTTGGAATGGGCCGAATATAAAATTGGTACTATTCGATAGAGAAAATTATTCTCTATCGAACTGCGCTTCCAGTTTTTTCTGAAAAAATGTCTAAACGTAGAAATAATCGTCACAACTTGACCAATCCAAACAGAGATCATCGTTAATGGCTTCAGCATGCGAACGATAATACAAAATGGCGGCTCCATACAATAAGTTATCATCATTTCTTTTATTTTCTGCTGAATTGAAACTAATTTTTGAGTTTTGACGATCACCTTGATCGTTACATTTATTTCAAATATTATTTTTTCAAATAAAAAATGAATTACAATAAATGCATACAAGCATAGAAACAGAAAAATACAATAAATTCAGTGATACAAACAAAAAAACACAAAAAAGATTATTGCTTGTGCTTCAATTTTGAGTCATATTTTCTTCTAAAACGTGTTGCTTGTTGTATCTTGATTTAGATGGAAGAGGTGTTTTATAAAAGATAAATCGACAAGAAATGATGCGATGCACAATCAAAAGACGAGTGTTACAAAAATTGTTGAAACTGCACTTGTTATCAATTGTATTGTTAAACGAAATATATTTAATTAATGATAAAACTAATAATACAAGTTCGTTTATTTTTTTTTCCTACTTTTATTCAAAAGGAATCCGTGTAAGCTTTCAATGTGTTCAACACACCATTTTCAAGCAGAAAAGAAAAAGAGTTTGAATTTTATAAGAATACTTGTTTCTTCTCTGTTTTATTCATATAGTAATGTTAACAAACAGTGCATTGCGAGGGAGAGAAAGGTATATTGTTATCGCATTACAGTATTTGTCAATATCACCATATGAATAAAATAGAAAAGAAAAAAATATTTTTATAGAATTCAAACTCTTTTACTTCTGTGTTTGAAAATGGTGTGTTGAACATATTGAAAGTTTACACTTCTTCCTTTTGAATAAAAGTAGAAAAAAAGATAAATGAACTCGTATTATCAGCTTTATCATTTGTGTATTGGCGGAATAATAGTACTATTGTGCGCTATTCTTCTATGTATGTGAAAGAATGACCAATCCTCTGTACAAATAGAACAATAGTGCCATTATGCGCTAGTCTCATTGGTCGTTGGCTTCTATTGCTCGTTATTGGTCTAAATTAATTGATGGTTTTCTCAGAAATAACTCTGAGGCCGAAAAATTCGAGTTCATCACAACAATTGTCTCCTATCTAGTGACTATTAGTGTTAAGGAGAACCTTGGAAAAAATGTACAGACAACTACCGCCACCTAGTGCATTAGTATGTTGACGATTTGATAATGATTCAATGATTCATCTCTATTTGCGGGTAGACTATAGCAAAAGAATAAAAGCTTGAGGTACTTTTACACTTTAAGAACCCAACGCATATGATTGGTGATAGAATGAGAAAAAAAGAGCTGATGAATCAAATTAAAGTGTCCAACAGCTAAACAAAATAAAAGATGACGCTTATTTTTGTGTGAATTCTTAAGTACAGTTGCATAAGGATTCGAGTATGAATGTGGGATCCGAGTGTGAATTGTTGACATCTTCTTCATCCGCACTCTTGTGTCTCTTTAATTTAGAGTTCAAACAAAAATAAGCGTCATCTTTTATTTCGTTTAACTGTTGGATATTTTAATTTGATCCATCAACTTTTTTTTTTCGTTCTGTCACCAATCTTATGAGTTGGGGTCTCCGAGTGTAAAAGCATCAAGCCTGATTCTAATATAATGTTAATGTCATTAGGTACGAATAAAGTCTATTTGAGATAAATCACAAAAAAGATTATTCATTTTTATGGGGCATCGATTTTCTTCGGTATTCAATATTCATAGTTCCACACCGAATTTCGTAATCGAATGAAACTTGAAGGTCGTCTAGTTACTTGTCAAATTCTTATATGATAGACATGTATTAAATATAAATGACTTATTCATTGAAGAATAAAGAAAAAGAGGATTCAATTGAATTCATGTGCACCGAAACATAAAGAGAAAAGAAAATTGCAGAAAGAGACTGGAAATGTAAATCAAAATATTTATTTTATTTCAGATCCATGTATTTTATATTTTTTATTCGGTATTTATCACAATGATAAAACTTAATCGTGCATCTGGTGTTCTTGCCCATATTACTAGCCTTCATGGACCAAATGGTATTGGCGATATTGGTAATGAAGCCTATAAGTTTATCGATTTCCTATATAAATGTAATCAAAAAGTTTGGCAGGTTAAAAAGAATATTAAAGCCAGCAATGAAATTCTATTTTATTATATAGATTCTTCCTTTAACTGCCAGTGAAAAACCGTCACCATATTCTGGCACATCAGCATTTGCCGGTAATCCATTATTGATTAGTTTAGAAAAATTAGTTGACAATGGTCTACTTGTTCAGTCGGACATTGAATCAAATCGACCAACATTTGGTGATCGAATTGAACATAATAAAGTATTTCAATGGAAACCTAATATATTGAATCGAGCATATAATAATTATAAACAAAATTATTTAGGAAAACTTAAAAATGAAATTGATACATTCGCTAAAAAAGAACATTATTGGCTTGATGATTATACACTTTATATGGCAATTAAAGCTGAACAAAATAATCAAACATGGTCAAAATGGCCACAAGGATTAAAACAATATGATAAAAAACTTTTAGAACAAAAGCGACATGAACATGCAGACGCTATTGATCAACATCGATTTCTTCAATATATATTTTTTCAACAATGGCATCAATTAAAACGGTATGCTAATCAACATGAAATTACAATTATTGGTGGTAAAAAAATTCTAGGAAAATTATTAATTTTAAAATATTAAAGAAGAATTTATTTCTTTCAAGACATGCCTCTCTATGTTGATTATGATAGTGCAGATGTTTGGGCAAATCAGTCACTATTTCAACTTGATCCAACAACTTCTTTACCGAGAGTAGTGTCAGGTAAATTTGTAATATAATCCACAAACATTTTATTTGATTTATTTCAGGTATTCCGCCTGATTCAATAGAGCGCGATGGACAATTATGGAATAATCCGTAGTTGTTCTAGATTGAAGATAAAAACAAAGATGTATAATCTCTAGTTTTTTAGGATCTGTGATTGGACTGGGAATCTACGTAAAACAAATTTCGATTGGTGGACAAGACGTTTGAAAAAATGTTTGGAAACAGTTGATGTTCTTCGTATTGATCATTTTCGTGGTTTAGAAGCTTATTGGTAAGGCTAACTTTTTGTTTCGATAAAATTTACAATAGAGTCAACGTTGTAAAATTGTTAGTGACATTATAGTACATAATATGGCGATATAGAACGTGGCGAGAAATGTGCGAAATCAATGTCAAACGCATTTAGTTAGGTAACATTTGAATTTGATGAAAACATAAGAAAAAAAAGAAATTGTGATAAAAATCTAGTAAATCCGAGAGTTTAGTCATGTATATATTTCATTTTTATGAGCAATGAGTTTCATAAAAAGATTGATGTCACACTATAGTAATGTTTAGATAAAAGTAAAACAGATTTTACGTAGGAACAATTCAAACCCGAGCGACAACTCTCGGATTTTAGTTGATGAGAAAGCTTAAATAATCTGTACTAGGCGTGCATTTCATATGTTGCTAATATCAATTTTTCAGAGTGAGTTTAATTCCAAATGATTCTGGAAGAGCCACTGATAAAACAACCAGGACGTGGGTGTGGGTGTAGATGGAGAAACGATACTATACTCACACTCACATCCAAAACTCCCAATTTTTTCAAAACTATCAGTTTTATAAGGTCCATATCTTGAAGACGAAGTGATAGGATGAAATATTCTTTTCATCAATCGATAGCTCATGAAGTTTACTATAAAAATGCTGTTAAAATGTTTGAATACCATGCTTTCATAAGTTTTTACAATCGATCTATAAATGCTCACACTTGTGAACATTGAGAGATAAAGGTTTAATGATTCTTGCAATTGTGATCATAGACTAATATTGTTTTCGTAAAATACATTATCGGTCTCATCATGAAATTCGTATATTAATGAGGATTTTCGTAGTTGAATGGCTACGCTGCTAGACAACTACTCAGTGGCTTCTGTGTTCCAGTTTCTGTGACACTAATCTTAGAATGATTTTGGACAATGTACTAACGGATCTATGTCTCGGATCATCCGTCCCATAACATGTTGATTCTGCAGTGGCGTAAATCTGTTCTTATGATTAGCTAGTGTATATGGAGAGCACAAGAGCTCCGCACCTGATTGGTTTTTTGTTCAAACCTATAGCTACTATTAGTTGTAGGAAAGATATCGGGCTACCCATACAGAAAGGCATGGGTATTCTTCCTTCTATATTAGTAAACAATTAAAATCTTTCAATAAGCAAATATAAATTGGTAAATAAGATTCTGTTTGATCAAAAGATAAAGAATTGAATCGATATCTAACACAATATGATTTAACAAATAGGTCTGCGCTCATTATGATAAATTGTCCTTCCATTTGTCTATCGAAATCAACTCTTCTTACGTAAATTTGAAAGACAATAACTTAAGTTAATGACAAAAAAAGAGAGAAAATTCATTTTCGACTCAACCAAAGACGAATATGGATATCGATATCTAAATATAGTTATTGAGTAATGCTTCCAGTATAGATAGATTCAATGTCTATATTTAAAAACTTTGAAACAAATTAAATATTTCTCTTCTTAGGGCTATTCCGATGGGATCAGATGGAAAACCTAAATCACCAAGTAAAGGTGCATGGATAAAAGGCTGTGGTAAGTTTGATAATTATATTTTCTTCAATTTCCAGTCAATTGTCTTTTTTTTTTGTCAGGTGATGAATTTTTAACAGTAGTAATCAAGGTACTCGGTAATGATTTACCATTAATTGTAGAAGATTTAGGTCATTTAACAAAAGAAGTATTTGATCTTCGCGACAAATATGGTCTTATCGGCATGCGTGTTCTTCATTTTGCTTTTGGATCTGATCCAAATAATCTGTATTTACCACATAATTATGTTCAAAATTGTGTTGTTTATACAGGAACTCATGATAATAATACATCACGTAATAATTATTAGTAAAAAAAAAACTCTTTTTATTTATTAAATTTGTTGTCGAAATTTTATAGTTGCATGGTTTCGTCAGAATGCAACGAAAAAGGAAAAAGAAAATTTAATCAAATATTTACAAAAAGAAGGTGATCCAGAACATAATATTAATTGGGATTTAATTCGATTAGTACATGCTAGCGTAGCTAATTTATCTATTGTTCTATTTCAAGATATACTTGGACTTGCAGAAGATTGTCAAATGAATAATCCGTATGTTGAAATAATTCATTTTTCAAGTTTATTTTAATTCAAAATATTTTCTTTTTCAGAGCATTTACACCGGATTATGAAGAGAATTGGAACTGGCGATTTAAATGGAAACAATTAAAACAATCAGACAAAGATAAACTTAAATTATTAACAAATATCTATGGACGATATAGACCTAAAGAACGATTAGAAGAATCAACTAAATAAGTTGATATATATGAAAAATAAATTGTAATCAATAAGCAAAATCTTATGAATAAGAAAGACGATCTTTTATTGATTTCATTCATTTTCCATCTGAAATTATTTTTTACCAACTTCTGTTGGATTTATGTACTATCATATTTTGTTTTGTATTGACTGCTCTTTCACATTTAGTGAACACAAGAGCGAGTCAGAATCAATGTATATATTATTTAACATCGTAGTCACTAGAGTATGGATGCGAATTTGTCGGTGTTGGGTGCGTACGGGTTTGATGATGTGACTTCTTTCAATCTCAATAACCTTACAAAACTTTTCCACTCATAGATACGTAGAGGGTGATGAAGACAGTGGATGGTGTGTACCTCGCTTGAGAAATGCATTCAGAATGTGAAGATGGTGGGTCAAGATTGCATGGTATCTATATGCGCACAAGTGCCATCAGTGTATGAAAATCGTGTGATGTGGGTGTGTGACTGAGTGTGAGTATTTGGGTGGGTGTGGATATGTGAGGAGTGTGGGTGAGGTGCATGTGAATATGGATGTGTGGATGAGGTGTATGTGGATATGGGTGTGGGATGTGTGGGTACGGATATGGTTGTGCAGGTATGGATGTGGATGTGTAGCTAAGTGTTGGTGTGTGGGTGGGGTATATGTGGGTATGGGTGTGGGTGAGTGTTGATAAGAGACATTCGCACCCATACCCACGCCCACCATCCAACAGCCACACACACCCATCCCTTAAAAATAATTAACAACTGAACTTCTCTTTGATGTGTAATGTATTTATGATAAATAAGATACATCTTGAATGACTGTCACTCTGTTTACCAAAAAACATAGAAGTAATAAGTAACATGTTTTGATGACGCACTTCACATCAACAAGAAAATTAATTGTTTACAGTAAAGAATAAACTTACTAACAATATTTGTGCTTGTACATAGCTAACGCGAATATAAGAGTGATGCGGATGTAGTTTGAGATTAAGAGAAAATACAGACACCGCCCATACACGCGTTCTATACATTCATTTCAAAGTGGATACAAATCTTGTATTCTTTTTCCTAGATATGATTCATTTTATGAGATTTTCAATCATATTGTATCTCACACACGCGTTGTTTATTCTGAAATCAAAATAACATAGCTTAAATGAGTAACACAAAGCAGGTACTCAGTGTTAAATTTTAAAGCAAGGTAGAACAATAAAGAAAGGAAGAAATAACGTGCTTGTATATATCTCTGTGGATGAGCAACAGAGCAGTATTAAACATCAATGAATGTCAATATTATGAAAGAAAAAAAGAATGTTTTTCATAAGTTTTAATGTCACATCACGGCTTAAGTAGATAAATAAAATGTACAATCATAATTTGACCAATGATGAATATCAAATAAAAGTTGGCATTGGTTGTACTTGATCCTGTAATAATTTAAAAGAATACATTACATTTAAATACGAATGTTGATAATGATCGGCAAGAATCTTTTATCATACAGAGCCCAGAAGTATGAGATTTTAGCGCAATTTTTACCGTATTAAAATATGAAATACTATGAGTCTAATTTCTGCGTAATAAAATGAAAACTAACTTATTTTTACTCTTGCACAAAACTAGCAGTAAATCTAAGGCTTTCATTTTTCAAAAAAGCAATGCTAAGATCATGAAACTGAACGAAATTCTATTGGTCACTACAAATCGATTGGAAAGAATTTTCGATAGATATTTTATTGGAAATCTTTCAGAAAACTATTTCATATGATCTTGAGGTCAGAAGGATCCCTTCTATAGAAAAAATTCTCTTCTTCTGAGTTACGATTTTCATCGAATACGTTATAAGTGATTGCAACACAGTTTGTGATTCCTATTGTATCGTCAGTAATTACGTGTGAAGAAGCTTGAGTAAGTGAGTGCAGCGAATGGTACATCTATTTATCTTTCTGATCAGATCGACAGCTATTTGGCTAATTAGAAATGAATAACGCGATAATTGCAGATATACAAAACTAAACATAAGAATAAAAGAATGAAACTTATGTGAACAATAAGAGCAGGAGTTTTGTAAGAATAATTATTATTACAGCAATAGGACGGGTATCATTACAGAAATCGACGTTTATTTATGTAGAAATGGAAAGAAAACACGTAAAAAAATGTTGAATAGTACTATCACTTTCTTCGAACTTTATAGTAACAAATAATCTCAATGTAATTTTCCTCAGCGCAATTTTTTTAGAGTTAAAATTAAAAACACGATTGAAAAGTTTAATTCATAAATAAGAATCGCACCCATAAATATCACAGTTCATCACGAGCCTGAAGAAAAGCGTTCGGAAATAATTGACACATTGTGTTGCGAAATTCAAAAAGCCAGCATATCTAGATTGTTGTTACAATGTATGAAATAGGTGAAAGAGAACCGATTTAATTTTCTCTCTTTATACTTCCATACGTTCGTCTTTGCAGAGGATCGTGTAATCTAGATTCTACGCTATCATTCAGAAAAAAGAAACTGATTTCGACAGATACTATGCAATCAACGAAAGACTGTTTGATTAGACAAAAATCAGAAGATGATTTTGCTTGAAGAGTACAACAAGCTATAGAAAAGTTTTAGGCAAAGTTCATGCGAACTTATTCAATTTGTGTATATTTTTAAATCTTTCTAGTTTTTTTCTATTTCCACGATACATAGATTTGGTAATGGACCTTATTGTTTTACAATGTACTCACTGGATGTGTTTGTTGTAACTGTGATAGTTGTTCGAACAAGGTTAGCTGATGCTGGTCCAGATACTACCACTGTATATACTCCCGTTGCACGTGTAGAGTAGGTTGTTGGCACAAAAACGTATATCAGATTGCGTCGAAGAGAAAATGTAAATCGAAATTGTCCATTTCCGTTACTATTATCATCAAACGTAAGTAAATTTGAAGACGAAGAAGATGAACGAAAACTGCCGTTGTACAAATAGCCATATGTGTCAACAGTACTGATGCTCATAAAAGTATAAGAACCATCCACTGGAACGGTGACGTTATACGTATCATAATAATAGCCCAGAGATGAGGTAGCATAACGAGAGAAACTTGGACTATTGGTTGTCCATGTTGATGAAGCAGTTTTATTAGCCGTGAATACACGAACTATTGCAAAGAGAGGAAAATAAGAATGTCAAATTTCTTGTATTCTCAATTGTAATTGATTGATAGAAGACTTTTTTACGCTTCAACGTACGATAAACATTGCTTATAGATATATGAAATCATCATTACAACCGAAAAATAGTGTTCAGCACTGATATCAGTGATGAACTAATTCTTAATTCTACAAAAAGAAGAATTCTATCCGTAATTTTTCACTTCTAACAATGCAACCTTCAATAAAAAACAGTTACTCTCTAAAATTATAAATAACTAGACTTTTAATTTTCCGTATTAAAATTTTTCACGAAATAATTGACTAATCCGAAAGTCATATTATTCACCAGTTATTTTGCAAAATTTAGCCAGGTCAATTAGGTTTTTCCAGTAATGAAGTCAAGTTCTGTATTTAAATAAAAACTTTCAAACACTAGATTTACTTCGTATTTGATATATTTAACTTAACTATGGATAGTCGTTTTCTGAAAAGGAACACTTTCAATCTTTTTTTCGTTAGAATTGAAGTACCTTCAAACGTGAATTCACACAATCGACAGAATCAATGGTTATAATAGAATGAAATGAATCTTATCTTCAACAACGAGAGAAACAAGCTATTCTTACTATGGTGATACTGTTTAAAAATATGTTTCAAGAAACTCGAGACAAAAAAAATTCCGTGTAATAATTTTTATGATTTTGTTTACGACAATGTACATACAAATAATATTGGAAAGATTGTCCAACCGAATTGCTTATTAAATACGTATGTACTATTTCTCGTTGCATGAATAGGAAATATCGACTTATATAACGATGTCTGGACAGTAGAATACTATCCATTCATATTTTCGCAGACCACGAATCAAAATAAATTAAATCTCTGTGACATGACTAAGTAAAGAATCAAGATTTCAGCTATTTATTGACACTTCTCAGAAAAAATCCTTGTATAGCTACTTCTTGTTATTCATTCTTTCACAGACAGCTGTGCAATTGAGATTTCGAAGATTCGGAACCGAATTCGACCTGAACTCGGCATTGGAACGATCATCAACTCTCTACTCCAGAGTATATCATACATGTAATCTAGTTACCTGTTGTAGTAGTAGTAATAGTGGGCAATGTTACTCCGCTTGCTGTACAGTTGTAGAATAAACGAACTTCTTGAATATCAATGGAACTTAAATTCACACGTTGTCCAATAATAGTATTTGGCTGTATTGGAACGATGGTTGGAAGTCCATTAGCAGAAAAAGCAGTCGTTTCATAGTGCATTATCGATCCATAATCATATGGTGTACTTTGAGTGTTCACTTCTGAGTTATTATACTTTACAAAATTGTGTTCCATACCTGTACAAATATAGGAAACAATCATTCGTTTTTATCATCTTTATATCGATAACTTTATCATAAGAAAAAAAATTTCTACCTAGTTGTATATTTGCAAAATTGATTGTAACATAACTATCACGATCCGGACGTGATTGTTCATGGTAGAAGCCTAGTTATAGAAAAAAAAGAGAAAAAAATGCGCATTATAATGGAATCTAATCGATTGTCGTGAAAGTTCTCATTATTTATTGTCGAGGAAAGTATATCTCGATGAGAATAAGAGAATCTCAAAAAAAGAAAATTTCTTATGACCTATTGTTTAAAAATCATAATTACTTTACTAGATTTTCAGTTCATACAGAGGCATTTTCGAAAAAAAAATAGGTTAAATGATTTCTTTAGCTGCAACTTTCATTGAAAATAGACATCATAGTTCTAAGAATTCTTTGGAATTTTTCAACAAAAAATGATCTATCACTTTTTGAAATAGTGGCTTCGCCAAAAAAGAATTGTATCTGACAAAGACACCGCAATCATCGAGTTTATTTCTGAACTTACTATTGCGAGAATGACACGGTTTTTTTTATGAAAAATACGAAGATATTTTCGTAACAATAGAATCAATTCTCAGGAAAAATTTCAGGTTAAAACGGTTGACTTTTGCTTTTTTGGAAAATACCTGTCCATCACTCGGAAACTCTTATAAAAACAGTCATTATTTTCCATCAATAGACCACAAGCACTTATTCAATTTTTATTTTCACCGAAATCTATTATTACCAATAATAAAGAGTCGGAACTTCCCCATTACTTCGGTTGGTTTCCTCGTTACTCAATAATAAAGGATTGTACTCGTTACGTTAATTCGATTGAGTTTTTTATTCTTGTATTCTATATGTGATGTGATATTTTACAAAAATTATGCGTAGAACATTTGCTGAAGAAGAGACAGTGGTCTTCCTCTATGTCATCAAAGAAAATATTCAAATATAATTGTCATTCAGAAAATGAGTCAATAAACTTTCGATATGTGTTTCTGTTATCTGAAAATAGGAATGCAACATTTTAAACAAAATCGTAGAAAAATGTTGGAAGTAACGCTAAATAACTTATACAAGTAGTATTTCAAATGAGACTAAAAGTTTTAAAAAGTTCAGAATAGGACAAGTTCGTCTGAGTCACTTTCACCAACACTCCATCCACACTCAACGGTACCTATAGCATTCTGCAAATCTTCATGCTTACCCTCACCTCTGAGAAATTAACATCATGCTCCGAACGATCTCTAAATACGTAGGTTTCATCTTTTATAGATTCTCAACATAAAGCAAATCTTGGAAAAAAAACATCGAACAATTACCTAATACATGCAATAATTCATGCATGATTATTCCTTCATATAAACAACCCGGATGTTGAAAATTTACCGTACGAACCATATTAATGCCTGCATTCTGTCCAACCTAAGATGTTTTGACAATAGTTTTCTATAACTAACATACTCATATACATGCTTAACTGACATAAGATGAACAACCATATCCATTGGTGATTGTAATGTAATACAGATCAGATGATACTTTCGGTCGAAATTGTATACAACGTACATTGTTAATTGATATGTAACGTTCCATTTTTTGCATTGTTTCAATAATAAATGTTTCTTGCGTGAGTGCTGCATAAAAAAATAATATTGTCACTTAGAAATTTAGAAAAATAAACTCTCGAAAATAAAAACTTTCTATCGAAGAAGTTTTTAAAATGAGTATTTCTACAAACGATAATAAACTTACCGTATCCTGATGCAATTTCGTATGGAACAATACCATTTGGCCAAGGAACTGCAGAACCACGTCGTGCTACACCTCGCTTGGTTTTATTTCAAAACAAAATAATAAAATGAATTTTTCTTGAATAAAAAACAAAAATTCATGTTGAACTTACGCCCATCAGATTGAATGAACTAGGAAGTAAAATATCACCTTCATATAGATCGGCTGAAAAGCAAGAATGAATCGTAATAAGCAACAATGAAATAAAATTTCTCCAAAATTATTCTATTCCTTTCATCTATTCTCATTAGTAACAACCAAAAAGAAATTCTTAATCTTCCAAGTTTTCTCCTATAACTAGAAAGAAATCTGTGTCTAACAATGGAAGTATTTGTGTTGTAAGTTAAAATGGTTAGACATATTCGGGTTAAAATAAAGCTCTC